CCCGCCGGGGGCGGTGGTCTGCGGAGCCGCGCGCCCTCCTCTGGACCGCCCTTCCCGCCCCGCACCGCCGGCGTGCTCGCGGGTCCCCTGCCGCTCCCTTCCCTCCTGCCCGCGTCTCCGCGGCTCATCCCTGCGGCCTCTCCCTGTCCGCCGCCCGCCCGCCTCTCCCCGGGGCTCCCGTCCTCCCTCCCGCTCCGTCCCTGCCTCCCCGCGGCCCTCCGCCCTGGCCAGCTCCCGCCTCTCCCCGCAGCGCCCGCAGCCGGGTGACGGCTGGACCCCAGACTCCGGTCGGCTCCTCCCCGCTCCAGCGCGTCCGGAAGGGACGGACGCACCTGCCGTCCGCGGGGAGTGATGCGGCCGCTGCCCCGCGGGGGCCGCCCCTGCGCGCCCCGCAGACGCCCTCGGCCCGGCCTGGAGGAGGGGCCCAAGAGACGTTTGTCCAGAGCGGACCTGCGGCCGAGCGGTCGCGGGACAGGTCCTGCCCGGTGGCCGAGAAGCGGCTCCGCCCCCACCGCAGCTTCCTCCCTTTGAGAGGAGCAGGACCCCTTCCCTAACCTGGGGGCTCACTTACAGAACACAGCGCTCACCCTCAGGGCTCTGCAAGAAAACCTGTTCCCAGCTACTAGTTGTAGCTCCCATTCCTGATGCCGTGGTCACTGTGACCGAGTCCACAGCTGCCCCTGGGGTCCTGCCCACCGAGCAGCAGCCATCCCAGGCCACCCCTCTGCGTCCCTTTTATATCGGGGCCCCCTCTCTAGAGTGAGCCAAGGGCAAAGCCTGTCCCCAGGAAATGCCCTGCATGTTCAGCTGTGCCCACAGATTCCAGGAGGTGGGGAGCTGGTCCTTGGACGGTCTTAGGGTCCCACAGGAAAACAGAGTGTTCCGTGTGTCTTTGAAGCCTTGATATAGGACCAGTGCTGAAAGGATTACACGCATGCACATGGGCGACAGCAAGGCCCAAGGAAGATGTGTGTTAAATCACTTCACGGTTCATGATCAGAGAGTGGCTGTGAGCCTTCCTGAGATCGCAGGAACGCGGCTCTCGGGAGCTGGGTGGATTTCAGCGAGGACCGGCACTGCTGGGGGCCCAGCCAGGAGCCTGTGGTCCTGTGCCCTCTCCCGTTCCCCGTGCCACTCCCCCTGGGCTGTCACCTCTGCAGCGCTCTACTACAGCAGCCACCTGTGCGGCCCATCTCCCAGCACACCCCCAGGGCTCTCACAGCAGCAAGCCAGCCCTCTGCTTGGGAATCCTCCCGGTCACTAAAAGGTTTGCAGATCCAGAACCAGGTGGAAATTCCTCAGCAGTCCTAGGTGTTCCCTGGGAGGGACGATCCTGCTGGCGCCCCGAGCACCCCATGCACACTTCCGCTTCTGCAGACCTGCACTGAGCAGTCCACCCGAGCGGTGCACACTTACTGCGGGCCTCAAAGCCAAGGGCAGCGGCTGGAGCACGAGGACGGGGGCAGGAAGGTGCGGACGAGGTGAGGGCAAGCGAGGCCCAGGCCGCGGGCCACTAGAGGTCACAGGAAGTGGCAGTGGGGACTGATGTGTTGTGACCCGCGAGCCTTTCAGCAACCTGGAGAAAGCTGTGGATTCTGGTCCCCAGCGCGAATGTGGGTCCTGATCCTAGGCACACGCTGTCCGCACGGTTGTGAGAACAAATTGTGGACTCTCGTGAACCTAAAGTTAAGACTGTGTGTGCACAAACACGCTCACTTTTTGGAAGGGAACTTGGTTTCTTTGAGCTACTCTGTTTTTCAGGACCTTGTGGAGTCCACAAAATAACCTCTCTCTGACCGCTGGATGCCTGAGTGTGGAACTCAGAAGAGCGACCATGGCCAGACCTGAGTGGTGGGAGGACCCAGTGCTCCCCGCGGTTATGAACTACCTGAAGTCACGGGGCTGAGGAAGAGAGCAGGGCGGCGCCGGCACAGTGCTTATGGGGTCAAAAATGTCTTTGAGAAAATGAATGCAGCCCCCAGAAATTGGCCCTGCACACACTCAGATCACTGCAGAGCGGGCCTGAGTCCCGGAGCACCTGGCTGCCCACTGTGGGTCTTTCTGAGGATCTGGACCCCCACAGGCTCCCTCTCCACACAGACGCTCACCTCCCATCCTGCACGGTGCAAAATCCAGGCTTCTCGCCATCACGGCGGGCAGACGCGTCCCAGGGCCAAGCTGGGCAGCACATCCAAAGGTCCCGGTGCCTGGGGTCAGGAGCGAAGGGGACGGCAAGGTGCCCCAGCCGGCCTCCACACAGGCTGAGTTAAATCCTGCTCCCAGTCCCCTGGAGAGCCTGTCACAGTGGGCCTGAGAGAGCAGTCACCAGGCTCTTGCTGTGATCACACCCAGGACAGGGCTTGGTGCCATGCTGGTTCCCACAAGGATCCGTAATTGGCCATGGCTAATGAGGCTTTGGCGGGGAGGGGTTGGTCCCAGAGCGCAGGCCGTCACACGCCCCCTGGGCCTCCTGCCTAAGCTCTCTGGCTCTCTGGGTGTGAAAACTAAAGCCCTCCTTTCCCTCCTTCTTGGCTCTTCCTGAATATCCTCCAACCCATTTCCCAGGAGCTCTCTTCTCTGTTCCTATCCATCTTCTCCTCCCTTTGAGCCTCTGCCCTTCTTGCCTCCCCTTTCTCTGCATCTCTGCCACCGTATTCCCGTCCTGTGTCAGCATCTCCCTCTCCTGCGTGAGGTCACGGGCAGTCAGCCCCTCCGCAGGCTCCTCTTACTCCTTTCCCTGATCGACCTTCTCTGTTTGCCTCTGTTTCTCCTCTAGGGTCTCCTCCTGTCCAAACATGCTCTCCTCCCTCTCTGGCCATCCCTCCCCCCTTGTTCTCTCTCTCTTTCTCATCTCATGCTTTCACCTTTCTTTATTCCTTCTTATTCTCCCTGCAACAGAATATGATTTCAGGGTCTCCAGAAAGCCCACTACTGAACAATCAACATGTCCTGTGTGCAAGCCCTGCTCAAGACCCCTGAAGAAATAAAAACACAAACCTTGTCAAACTCAGTTATGGTCCTACAGAAAACACAGGTGTCTGCATTACTGCTGTTTGACTTCCTCTGTCTCAATACCAAGGCTGGGCCTCAGCTGAGTGATCTTGACGAGATGAAATAAATCCTTAACAGCCTCAACGTGGGGCTGCCGCAGCCCAGCGGGAGCTTCTTGTGTATCCAGCACTGCAGCTTGGCTCTGCCTCGTCCCATCAATGTGCTTAAAGGTCACCTCATACACAGCAGTTACCGTCACCTGCCGGTCTTACCTGTCAAGAGTCGTGGTATCAGCGTGCCCTCAGCACCACGGACAGGGCTCCTGGGCAGTGGGATGGTTCTGATTCTCAAATCAAAAGAAGAACAGAGAAGTGTTTCCCTGCTTTTTGGATGCAAAGTGCTACTGATACAGAGAGTAGATGCACAACCCAAATTATCAGAGTTCACGCCCTGGTGGAGAAATAAATGAAGAATTCTTTGTATCACCAAGAAAACTTGCACACCTAACCCAACAGTGTTGAGGAAGGAGTTGCTTGCTCAGCTGTAGATGGAGTGCCTGGGAAATTTTTCACAAAGAACGTGACTCTCTATATGTTCTCACCCTCATTTGCTCATGGTCATTAAATCAAATGACTATGTTACGATATTCATTAAAAATTCAGAGTCACCGCCATTATTTACTGAGCGCTGTGTACTGGGCATCGTGTCAAATTCTTCCCCAACCCCATCCCTACTTCCCGATGGAAGAAATGCGACCCAGAAGAGACACACGCATAACCTGTCGTGCCATCACGCGGGTGGTGAACCTTGGGGCCGGGAACTGCCAGCTCAGGAACCTACATTTAACCTTCCCTCCCAATTCTAAACTTACAGTTGTAATTCGTCAAAAGCCAATCTGCTGAACTTGCCTTTTTATTTCAATAAATCTTTTTTTTTTTATTATTTTTTTTTTTTTTTTGGTTTTTCTCCAGTACCGGGAACCGAACTCACGACCTTGCGCTTGCCAGGCAGGTGCTTTTGCCACTGAGCTAAATCCCCAGCCCCTCAATAAATCTTTATTGAACAGACTTATTGAAGGTTTATTCAATAAATCTTTATTGTACCACACATCCTTCTAGCCTGTGAAATGGTGATGTCCCTGGGAGATGAGATTCTTTCTGTCCTTGGAATACACACCAGGAGAAATGCACAAATAAAACACTGTCTTCTAAAGTTACTTGACATAACTCATTTGTCTGTGTAGTTTCTCCCTAAACTGATATGTATGTACAGTTACATCATTTCTCATTTTTGCATTTTACATATATATATGTACAACTATACATTTCCAAAGTCAAAACCAAGAAAACAGATCACCATCAGCAGTCTCGCTTTCAGCACTGTCCCCTCTGCCAATTTGCAACACCCTTGTTTCTTCCTTACCCTGAATTCTTGAAAATATAAACAAGAATATGTCCATATGTATACCTTTATTTTCTCACATATAAGTTGCATAAAACTTTTTATTTTGTAGTACCTTTCAAAACACTTTTAAATGTTTTTGTATTTAGTGAAGTTTAAATATATCTCTAAAGAGTAATAGTATACTAATATATTTACATAATGCCTTAGTCTCCTATTTTTATCAATGAATATTAGTTACATGGAGCCATGGGTTTTGTGTGACCTTTTCCTACGTGCATGGGGCGTACTTTGATAATTTCCACCCCCTTGCCCTTCTTGCCCCTGAATGCCTTTCTCTCTTCTCTAATTGTTTCCATTTAAAATTTTTGTTCTCTCTGATAGTTTTGAATTTCAATAAATAGAAATTCAAATAGAATTTCAATAAATAGAAAACTATCATCTGATAGTTTTCTAGACTCTACATATTAAAAAATACATCTGATAGTTGTTTTTCAGAGTCTGGCTGGGCCAGGCGTGGTGGTGCATGCCTGTAATCCCAGTGCTTGGGAGGCTGAGGCAGGAGGATCACCATGAATTAGAGGCCAGCCTGGCCTTCAAATTGAGTTCAAGGCCAACCTGAACAGCATAGTGAGACCCTGTCTCAAAAAAAAAACAAGAAAAAAACAGAGTCTGCCTTATTTCACTTAACATGATGGTCTCCAATTCCATCCATTTTCCTGTAAATTGCATACTCTTATCTTCTTCTCTGAAGCTGAATAATACACACTACCACATTTGTGGTATGTACACAACATACACATCTGTACTGCATTTCCCTTATCTGTTCACCAATCAAATAGCACTTAGGCCATTTCCACAGCTTAGCCATTGTGAACTGAGCCACAATAGACATGGGTGTGCTGGTGTCCATAGCACACTGGCTTTGGGGATACACAAGGAGCACCTGGGTCACATGGCAGCTCTATATTTAATTTTTTGAATTAAATTATTATTAAATTGTAATCAATTTACCCTGGACGTTTTACACAAATCCAGTTACACAGCACGTGACCCTTTGTCATGCACTCGCAGGTGGAGCTCTGGGGACGTGAGTGGATCACGAGTGCTGTGACACTGGGTTAGCTCACTGATTGGTTTAGTGCAGGTCTGGTGTGGGTCATAGCCTTACTGAAGAGGGAAGACCTACCCTGAGTGTCAGTGGCACCAACCAATAGGCTTGTACCTTGGGTGGAATAAAAAGGGAA